CAACTCAAAATGGGGTGAACCCAGTGCAAGAGTAGACAGAGTTATTATAGACAACTTCTGAAAAAGGCAGGAGGTCAGCTGTGGCTCACAACTGATCCGTGCGATCGTAGGAACCTTTCCCCCCCCCACTTTTCAAAGCATTTTTTCTACTATTCACCCAAACCAACAGGAGAAAAATGCTTTAAAAAGTGGGAGGGGAAAGGCTCCAATGATCATGTGGATCAGCTGTGAGCGTGCGATCATCGAAACCTTTTTTTCCACTTTATAAAGCATTTTTTTTTACTACTGGTTCTGGCGAACCTCAACATTTTTTGCTACTGGTTCTAGTGAACTGGTAAGAACCAGTAGCATTTCACCCCTGTTTGTGGGGCCCAATGTAGTCAATAGATATGCTGCAGGAAGAGTTTGGCAAGTGCCTTAGCAGTGGGGATCTTTTGGCAGGGAATGAAGTGGCTTGGAGAAAAGGTCTGTTACGACCCAGATAACAGTTGTCCCCCCAATTTCAGGTAACTCTACAATAAAATCCATAGAGACATGTCATGACATGTTTGCATGAGAGGAATTCTCTGACTAGCTGGGACGTATACTTTTCCTCCCACCCACCTAAGTCATCTTTAATTAAACAGGTGCTTTATGGGCCATTGTTTTGTAGAGCTTTTTTAAATGCCTGAGTGGTCGCATTGTCCATAAGTGGTTCTTGTTTAGCTTCCACCCTGGTCATCACTTTGGCTGCCAGGCTGGGAGCATGGGTTTGATCACTTCAGGTTCCCACTAGGAAACTGAGGCTTTCTGGATGGTGTATCTGTTAAAATGTTTTTCCCCTAGGGAAGTATTGCAAACCACAGGAAGGTTTGTAGTTGTTTGCAGGTGCGGGTGGAGAACTGTTTGCACTTTCCCTGGGTCCACTTCCACGTCCTGGTGGGAAATCCTATATCCCAGGTAGTCAATTCTATCTTTGTAAAATTCACATTTGGAAAGTTTTGCATAAAGTTTTGCAGCATGGAGTTTGTTTGGGACCGCTCAGACAAGCTTTACGTGCTCGACTTTTCTCTCAGTATATATTAACATGTCATCTAAGTACACCAGAACCCCTTTGTACAGGTGCTCATGGAGCACCTCATTTATGAGTTGCATAAACATGGCAGGGACGCCTTATAATCCAAATGGGAGCACTCCAAAGGAGTATTAAAAGGTGTTTTTCATTCGTCCCCTTCCCTAATCCTGATTCAGTAGTAAGCTTTTCTTAGGTTATTTTGAAATATAAAATTCCTTGGGTGAGGTGGGCTAACATGTCTTTCATGAGGGGGAGGTACACATTCTCCATGCTCACAGTGTTTAAATTTCTATAACCTACACAAAGGCACAAAGGCCCATCTTTTTTCTCTCGGAATAGCAGTGGAGCAGCAATTTTTGGTCAGGTGGGTTTGCTGAAACCTCTAGCCAGGTTTTTATTTTTGAAGGCTCTCAATTCAAGTTCCCTGGGGGACATGCTATACATTTTTGGTTTTGGTAGTTTGGACCCTGGGAAGGATCTTGATAGCGCAGTCTGTGGGGCGGGAGGGGGGAGCTCATTGGAGCCTTCTTCAGTGAACACCTCAGCTAGGTCCTTGTACTCCCTCAGCTGCCCTGGTCTGGTGCGGCCTTTCCTGCCGTCACTGCTTCTTTGTTTTGATCTCCCCCCAGTTCCTCTCTTCGGCCATCAGGTCCAGTCACATGCTATTGAAATCTTAGAAGTCCTCTGCTTCCAGTTCACTTTGGGTTCCACTTCCTCAACCATATGAGCCCTAGAACTAGTGGCCATTCCATTCCAGGTGCCACAATGAGTCTCTCATCATGAGTCCCCACTTGCTATGTCTAGCAATTCTGTAGCAAAAATATTCCCGCATGTGACTGACCCATCTAACTGGCAGAACATGAGATTTTTTAGCTTCCGCAAGTGTATGCCCAATTTTCCCACCAGGGTTGGGCTAATCAAACACCGGGTGTATCCTGGGTCCAAGAGGGCTGAGATTTTCACTCTTTCCCCCCGACTGGGGATGAACAGTGTTAGGGGCAGGGTGAATGACTCAATCAATTTGCTTACCAGCAGGTCATCTTCAGGATTGCTTTCGGATGGGCCCAATTCCTCCCCAGGTGATGCCAGAGTTCCTTGCCCCAATTTTGCGAAGGGGTGAAACTCCACAGCCTCTCCACTTCTCAGTGCAGTGTCTTTTCCTCGGGGGGTTGTTTTTGTAGGCATTCTGGCTTTCAAGCAGGAGTTTTTGAAAGATGCTCAGCTGCACGGTGCCTCTCCTTCCCGCATTTGAAGTAGGCAGATGAACTCGGTGCCAGAGGGTCTTGCGGTTTAAAAGCTCTCGCTTTCCCTGAGGTGGATATCTCTTCCAGGCTCTTCCCCTTCGGTACTGATTTCTGGCCATGTCAATCTCCACTTCTTTAGCCAGGATGTACCAGTCGTGCAGGCAGCCTGGGACCCCTCGAGCCAGGTAACAGTCATGATTCAGGCCATCTTTGAACCAGCTCCCTAGGATGTCTTCCGGCCAGTCCACTCTGCAGATGAGGTTTCAGAACCCTTCAGTGTATTCAGCTACCGGCCAGCACTCATTTCATGATTCTGATGCGATTGCAAGGTTTGCGATCTGCCAAGCAGTCTTCAAATCAGTGGCAGAAAGCCATCCTGAATCGGTCGAAGTTCCATAGTTTAGGGGTGTCTGTGTTGTGGAGGGTCACCATCCAATGGGTTGCTGTCCCTTCCAGGGCCAAGGTGACAACTCAGGCCCAAGTGCCCTGGGTCTGGAAATCCCTCCTGTACTACTGCATGTACTTGAGGACATGTACCATGAAAAACTCCAGTTGCTGCAGGTTGCCATCATACTTCACTCTCAAGGGTGTGTGTGTCTTCCTCTCCACTTGTGGCGCTCTGAGCTGGCCAGGAACGATTGCAAGGGCTGGTGCTGCACAGATGGGTTCACCTGCATGGCTGTTTCTCCATCACTGTGTCTGCTTGGCCTGCTGCTGCTGGATCTGGGGGGCAGCCCCGGCCTTGTTGGCTCCTGCCTCGCCCCATCTCTGGTATCAATCTAATCCTCCCCTTGTTCTGTGGTTTTCAAAAGCCTCCATCAGGAACCGCATAACATTTCTCTTGAGACGGTCATCTTTGACTGGTTCTTTGATTAGCTCTTCCTAGTCAGACAGGGCTTCCAGCTTGTGTTTCCAGCCTGGTTGTTGACTGCCCCAGGTGAGGATGACTTCTCAGGTTCTTCCGTCCCAGTTATCTTTCTTCCCACTCTGATCTATCATCTGGGCTTCGTGGGGGCCTCCAAACTAGCTTCGATGTCTTCAATGGGGCAGATGCATCTGGCTTCTGGCTGTTGGTGGTAGAAGTCTCACCCCAGCATTCTCCTTCTCCTTGCTCGTCACTTTGCTCCGATACTATGTGCAGGGTCCCCTCGGTAGAGTGAGTTTGCTTCTCCAGGTTGACCACTTTTGCAGACACTGCTTTATGTAAGGCCCTACCTCTCCCTCCTGTTCAAGAAAACATGGACTCTTGAAACTTTAGCACTTCAAAAGGAAACTTGTATTGAAAGGAAGTGAATGCACAACAATGCAAAGAATGGTCTGAGTCGTTCCCCGCAGGCAATTCCGTTACAATAAAGTGGTTAGAAACCTCTCCTCTCAGTTTGATGTTGAATGAGCCAATCCACAAGTGCGAAGATGTTGTAAAAATGGTAGTCCTGAGAAAGACCTAAGGAGTCGTTCCCATGCACTTCTTCTGTGATGCTTCTAAGCTGAGAGAAAACAGACTCCCTTGTACATTCTCCAAGGTAAATCAAAACACAGGGAAGAATAGGGTAACAGTTATAAACTAGGGAATTATAGGATACATAGGAAACAGGATGAGAGTACAAGAATCCGGGGTTCCCTCCCCAGTGGAATGGCAGTATCATGATAGGGATCTGACATTCTAATTCACTTCTATACTCAATCAAATGTAATACAAGTGAAAGCAAATTCTTGCAGAAACCATCTGTGCAACCATTATTTTTAGTTTTGGCCCCCAGAACTTTAATAACTATCAAACTATCACACAACTATCACATCTTTTTTTTGTTAGGTGCTTCAATATGCAGAAGCTCTACATTTCAAATTAAGTTTTTATGGTAAGCTATGTTTCTGGCATAGCAATTGCTTTGTTAGTCAGGGGAGCACCAAAATTTGTAAGACACCGTTGAGAGATTCCAGTAGTGAATAATGATCCACTTCTGTGAATATTGACATCCATTCAGAAGACAAGGTAGTTGAGTTGATTCCATAGAACAGCTTTGGGAAATACAATAATCACCAATTGCTATATAGTAAAAATAGCTAGAAACAAATTAGGTGGCGATAGTTTTGTCAAAAAGTATTTGCTTGGTTCTCTTTGGCACTATTATGAACTTAAATTTAATAATAATTCAGTTAGATAGTGGAAACTCTTTTCAGGCTTTTTGCTTTGCTCCAGGGCAGTAACTGATAGAACATAATCAAAATAAAATGTATTAGAACTTTTCTTGCATTTTGTATTTGTTTTGAATCTACAGATGTTAAAACACTATTTCCCTTCTAACCCATCCCATTAGAAATATTAAAGGAACTATAAATGAAACTTTGAGGAATGTATGTAAGCCTTAGGCTCGTGGTTGCTCACTTCTGACCTCTAGTATGTCACAAGCATATATGCAATTTCTCATGATAACACAACAAAATAAAACCAAATGGGCTTCCATGCTATTTTCTATAATGCAGATTGTGTGTGCAGACAATAAGTAATAACGCCGTCAGCTTGCCTCTCCTCCAGCAAATTAAATCAGTCCATATAGAAAAGAATCCCAGCACAGGAAACAAGAGAAACTTTAAATCAAGAAACAAATATAATGTTCCTGGGTATGCAATTATCATTAATGAGAATATGAATAAAATTATTTATTACAATTATTTTAAAAAGTGCTTCATTTTTAGCTTACCCATAGAATCTGTAGTCTGACTACCAACAACGCGGAGAAGCATTGGCTGATTATTTTCCGATCTCTCTACTGAGGTAGGGGAAGACTGGGTTGTACAATTCACCTTTGCATCTTGAGGCTGAAATACCAGAAATTATATGTTAATTTTACAAGTAGCAGCATGACCACTAGCACGCCCATCACACAGATGTACTGAGAAGTAAATTTCACCAATTTAGAAAGGTTTCCAATATTACAGAGGATTTCAGTTTGCATATTTATATTCTATGCCCAGGATGGCAAACCTATGGCACACGTGCCATAGGTGGCATGCAGAGCCATTTATCAGGGCACATGTGTGCGCTCGCCAGCTGAATTGAGCCTTTTTTAAAGCCATTTTCCCCTCCCCAGGCTCCAGAGGCTTTATAAGGAGGGTGGTCACGGGAGGGTGAAAAGAGCCTCCCCTGCCCCGCCTCCAGAGACTTCAGGAACTTCCCTAAAGCCTCCGGAGCACAAAAAACCAGCCCTATGGGCAAACTGGAAGTACAGACTTCCGGTTTGCCCATAGGGCTGGTCTTTTGGGCTCTGGAGGCTTCAGAGAAGCTCCTGAAGTCTCTAGGGCCTTCCGGGGGGTGGGGGGGGCTGTTTTCACCCTCCCCAGGCTCCTATAAAGCCTCTGGAGCCTGGGGAGGGCAAAAAAAGCATGCAAAAAATGGGGGGAGCACCTCTCATGCCCACATGCACATGGGGTGGTGGTGGTTGCATGTTGCATTATGAGTGCAGCACGCCCGTGCACAACCCCCCGTATGGCACGTGAGCCAAAAAAGGTTCACCATCGCTGTTCTATACAATCCTTGAGTACTACATTTTTATTTTGTGATACAATAACTACAAGAAAATTAAAGTAAAAAGCCACTTTATTTCCTAACAAATAAAAGAGAAAAGCAGATGTCTTGCCTGTTCCAATAGTTGTCTTAACCTATGTAGCTGTGATTCTAACTGTTTGTTGTGATCCTCTAGGATCTGCATCCTGGCTTCTAGACGCCCTTTGTGTTGACGGAGCAACTTGGCTTCTGCAATGAGTTCAGCATCTCGTGGACTCTGTGGTGAAATGGGCATCATCTCAGGTGGGGATGGCAGTGGAGATAGTCCTTTGTGATCATGTTGCTGCTTCAACTGGTCAAATTCTGCCTGCAGGTTTCTATTGAAAGAATAAAAATAAATATATTTATGAATATGCATGCTTTTCCATTTTATAGAAACCCTTACAAGGTTTAATTTCTACTAAATTAAGGACTTGTCCATAAAAACTGTTATCATAATGGAGAGGAGGGGCTAATGCCGCGACGACACAATGTGCGATCTTGGAACTCCAAGATCGCAGTCAATATTTCTGCCGCTGGACGGTCCTTTTGGCCCTAAACTGTCCCGTAGAGATGGTGACAGAGAAGAGTAAGTCCTGCTGATCTCAGGGACACCGCAAAGTCCCTGACTGATCCAGGAGAAGCTCTTATTTCCAATGACAGAAACGCAGCCATTGAAACTGCTGAATTTGGGACAGCTCCAGAATGGAAAGAAAGCGGAAAGAGAAAGTGTGTCAAATTGGTGAGGAAATTTTATTATTTGAAAAGAGACTACCCCCCCCCCAAAAAAAAATCAAAACTAAATTAAAATTGAAGACAGAAGAAGTAAGCAGCAAAATTAAACTACATTAAACTTAGTGTGTTATATTTTTTTAATTTTTCTTTTTATGGATGGAATTTTTGCAAATGTTTCCTATTTTTTAAACTGAATGGATTAGCTTTTCTTCTACTTTTTCTTCTTTTTTATATCTATGGATTAAAATTTTTCTTTTTTTACAATGCTTGATTATTTTCTCTCTCCATTTAAGAATTTTTTTCTTTAAGTTTGAAAATATAAAGAGGAATATAAAGAGGGCTGTAACAATAAAGGGAAAAGAAGTAACACTGCCACTTAGAGGCTGGAGATTTGGAAACATTGTTTTTTTCTTTTTTCTCTTTGATCATTTGACACTTCAAGGCTTTTCAGCTTGTTTATCGAGAGTGATAGTAGGAAGAGCATGGGTTGTTTACACAGGTGTTCTTCAGGAGTTCTATCAGCAGCTGGACTGGAGGGAAGACAAAGCCTTGACTTGAAAGATTATAATGAACTTGCTTGAAATCTAACAAGAAGCCTTGAATGCTATAGTCGCAGTGTTTACAAGTTGGAAGAATGGCGCAACAGCAAAAAGAAATTTTAACATTGCTAATGATTATGTTTGAAAGTCAAAAAATATTAGTAGTAACAGAGAAAATTGAGAAGAGATTGGAGAATATAGAACACAAAACAGAAAAATTTGATGGAAAAATTGAGGATGTTTATCAAATGAGGAAAGTGGAGGACAGAGTTCTAAAAATTGAAGAAAAAAATGAGCAAAGAGATAAGAAAATTGTGGATACTGACAGCAAACTGAGCATGGTTGGAAACGGCAAGAGTCGAATATGGAAAAGGGAGGTAGATGGAGTGGAACTCTACCCTAGATTTCAAAGTATAGAAGAAGAAAAGAAAGAAAAATTGATGGAGGTAAGGAGAGAAATCTTCACAGAAGCACCGTTGATAACCAAAGACAAGCTGATGGAAGGAGCAGATATTCCCCGTCAGCCATATAGGGTTGCCATATAGCAGTGGTGGGATTCAAATTTTTTTACTATCAGTTCGGTGGGCATGGCATGGCTTGGTGGGCGTGGTAGGGGAAAGATACTGAAAAATTCCTATTTCCTCCCCACTCCTGGGGGAAGGATACTGAAAAACTGGCCCATTTTTGGGCTTCCAAACCTTCTGCGCACTGTGTTTTCACCCTCCCGGTCCCCAGAAACATTCTGCAGGGCAAAAATGGGCCATGAGGAGCATTACAGAGTGTTTCTGGGGGCCTGGGAGGGCGAAAACATGTTGCACAGAGGGCTTGGGAGCCCAAAAACATGTTCATTTTTGGCAAAAAAGGGCCATGTAGAACACTGCAGAGTGCTTCTGGGGGTCTGGGAGAGTGAAAATCCAACACGCAGAGGCCGAAAAAAATAGTTTTTGTTTTCTTCCTGTAAATTTAGTTGCGTCTTATAGGCTGAAAAATATGGAACATCATCTAGACATTTAACATGACAAATAACATCCATAAGTAGAAAAGAAACATATGTTAAATTGATAAATTACATAAATTACATCTAGCTGTTTTGCTTTCTGGTTTGAAAGTTATTTAATATATCGATACATGGAAGTGATATTGTAATAAGGTTACCTATTTTCTTCCTCCAAGTCTGCAAGAATTCTCTCAAGCTCACTTCTTTCTTCACTTTCTAAAGAAATTAAAATCTGAGCAGGACTTCGAGGTTGACTGAGTGGTGATTCCTGGTTCAAACTTTGGCAGTAGTGCTGGATTAGCAAATGCTCATCATCTCTTTAAGGAAAAAAAGATAAAATATAAATGCATTTATATATTTTTTCTTCTTCCTTTCTTTCTTTCTTTCTTTCTTTCTTTCCTTCCTTTTTCTTTCTTTCTCTTTTCTTTTAGTTTCTTTTTGCTTTAAATCCGTATTATTTTTATTCTGTTAAAATTATTTAATTAAAATTTAAAAAAATTAGAAATGAAGCAAAAGTATAAAGTACACACATATAAAACAACACACATGCATATGGTTTGTGTGCATACGTGCGTGCACACACAGATGTGTCTTGGTGGCTCATAGAAATACAAGGTTTTAATGTTTAGATCAATGGGCTTATTTTTTGGTACCACATCTAAAGAAAGAGACAGGTAAAGAATGAATTATGAATAAGTTGGATTAAGTAGCAAATAGTGCACAGGAAAATGTATAGGTGCTATCAAGCTAAACTGAGTTATCAGAAATAGTCTTCTTAGCTAAAGCTCAAGGTTGCTAGCTCCAGCTTCAAATTAATGTCACACCAGCTTGTTTTCTATGAAAGGATGCATATGCAGCCATCACACCTACACCCAAAGTCATGTTATCATAATTTCCAATGTTCCCTGTCAGGGAACTCAGCCAGCAGGAATTTGGAAATTGTGATCACATGAGGACCTTGCTTAATGATCTGCATGGTACTTATTTAACAATAACAATTGGATCTGCTGGAATTGCTGTTGCTAAACTATATCTGGTATTGTACTTCATGACCATATTGCTTGTAGCAGGTTTCCTAGTCGCAACTGCTACTATTTCCTGAAGATTGTAGAGGTATTATATTTGCCAATACCTCTACATTTAGATGAAATTTGATCTAAGCTGGTAATATGATCCAGAAATCAGTAAATATAAATTTGCTATTAGAAACAAGGCCCCCACCACTCTTTCTCTTTATAGTAATAAATAAATAAATAAACTAGATTACTCCACCATTAAAGTCAAAGGACAAAAGTAATAAATTAATGTTCAGCTAAATAATATTTACCTTAAGTTAAAGTTTCTCTCCTTGCATCGTGTAATTTTTAAAAATAGATATTTAATAAATAATGCTTTCCCCAAATCAATTCATTTTAATGAAATGAAAATTAAAACAGATTCAAAAATGAAATCCTTTAGGAAACTTTTCACTTTGTAGAAGAACTTAGCATGATCATAAACACTAAATTCCTGATCTGTTAAAAAATAGGAAGCAATAGAGTTCAGTCAAAAAGACTGTTGGCTTACCTGAACAGTTGTTCTATGTGCGCTGTGGAAGAATCCAAGCATGGTTTAACTTTGTCCATTAGCCTAGAGACTGAATTAGAAAAAAAGTCTTGACCATGCCTCCTTTGACTGGTAGAGTTCAGTTTTGTATGAAGGCTCAGCTCATCCAAGAGATGCAAATATGAAGGTAAGTCCAGTAGATGGAACTATAAAGTAAGTCCTGGAGAAATAGTCCAAAAAGGTAAGTCCAGACAGACCCTGGATCTGACAGTACCAAGGGTGGGATTGCATTCTCCCGCAGCGCACATAGAATGACCATTCAGATAAGCCAATGGTCTTTCTCCTCTGAGCTGCTTGGAGAATCCAAGCATGGAACATTACAAAGCATAGGGTCTCAAAAATAAGCTCCTGGGCCTGGTGAAACCACGAGTTGACCTTTGGTAGTAACAACGGGTCCAGACAGAGGACGACTCTGTCAGGATGGAAGATACAGAGATCCTTGCACACCAACAGAGCTGCCAGTTCTGAAACCCTCCTGGCCGATGTGATGGCCACAAGGAAGGCAGTTTTAAGAGTCAACTGTCTAAGGCTGAAAGTGCAGAGTGGCTCAAATGGTGTAGAAGTGAGGCCCTGCAGCATGACGGATAAATCCCATGTGGGGTAATGATGCACCAAAGGCAGCTTGAGGTTTGATGCTCCCTTCAAGAAACTACACACCCTTGGATGGTGAGCAAGGGTATAGCCGTCTCCGCCCGAGAACTGTCGATAATGCGGCCAGTTGATGACACAGGGTGCTGGGAGTCTGTCCCCTGTCCAACCCATCCTGTAAAAAATCCGAGGTACTGAGGCAGATACAGGAGCTATGCGTCCAATACGTCACCATCTGCAAAATGCAATCCATGTGTCATTGTATATGCACATGGTGGAAGGTCGGCGTGCTGCATGAATCATGTGGATGACTTTCCTGGAAAAGTGATCCTGAGTCAAGATATACCTTTCAAGTGCCACACAGCAAGTTGCAGCCATTGAGGATCCAGATTAGAAGGGCCCCCTGGCTGAGGGATATCTTGTTGTCTGGGATTCTCCAGGGCCAGGAGACAGAAAGATTGAGAAAGTCGGCATACCAGAGGCATTTGGGCCAGTGGGGGGGGGCGATGAGCAGAACCTTCGGCCTCTCCGCTAGTAGCTTCCAGGTGACTTTTGGTATGAGCAGAAGTGATGGAAAGGCATAGAGGAGAATCGGAGGCCATGGACTACGAAAAGCATTGACACTTCCGCCCCCGGTACCTGAAACCCAGTGAAGAATCTCAGTAGGTGAGTGTTGTTGGGATGGGTGAACAAGTCCACAGTGGGTTGGCCTAATCTGCGGGACAGTTCATGAAACAGCTGGATGAAGACGCCATTCAGCGTGGTCTACTGTGGCCCTGCTCAGCCAATCTACTTGCATGTTTATGGTTCCAGACATATGCTCTGCCCTGATTGATAGTATGTGACTCCACCCAGAGATGGAGTTTCTCCGCTTCCAGCATCAGGGATCTGGACCGGGTGTCCCTCTGTGCTTGACATGAGCTTTCGTGGACACGTTGTTGTTGGTGAGAACCAGAATGTGGCGGCCTGTCACAAGATCTCGCACTTCCCAGAGGGCCAGGTGGATGGCCTGGAGCTACAACCAATTTATGCTGTTCAGTAGTTTCTCTGTGTTCCAGTGTCCCTGGGCTACTCAACACTGGGTGTGGGCACCCCACCCGAACAGACAGGCATGGGACGTTACTATGATTTGGTCTGGCTCCCTGAACAGGCACCCCTTGTGCAGCATGGAGGAATACCACCAGAGTATTGATCGAATTACCTTGGGCAGTACCTGGACCCTGGTGTGGGAGTGTCTGGTGTTGGCCCTCTGAAACGGGAGTAAGAACCACTGGAGGGTTCGTGCGTGAAGCTGTGCCCAGGGAACGATGTCTATACAGGAGATGATTTTCCCCAGGAGTTGGGAAAGAACCATTAAGGATGGAGATCTCTGTACTTTAAGATGATTCACCAGTGCCTGGATGCTGGTGTGCCACTCCTGAAAAAGGGAAACTTCGCAGGACTCAGAGTTGATGACTGTCCCGAGATGCAGAAGACTGGTGGATGGATGCAGGTGGCTCTGGAAATTCATGGAAAACCAGTGGTGTTGCAGCATCTCTATTGTGGCCTGAAGGTCTCGACGTGCTTTAGCCTGGGATGACGACAGGATCAGAATGTTGCCGAGGTAGCAATGTACTCTGATCAGCAACGATCAAAGATATGCCACAATGGCTGCCAGCAGCTTTGTGAAGGTCCTGGGAGCCTATGACAGATCAGACGGCAGGGCCCGGTTCATGGCATCCTACGAAGTGGAACCTCAGGAATCTTCTGTACGACGGATGGATGGGGACACAGAGATACACTTTCTTGATATCTACTGAGGTCATTAGGTCTCCCTGACAGATGTAACCCAAGATGGATTTGAGAGACTGCATCTTGAAGCGTTTGTACACCAGACGTAGGTTGAGCTTCTTTAAATCTAAGATTGCTCTCCACTCCCCAGAGCTTTTTGGGACGAGAAACAGGATTGAATAAAACCCTAGCCTTTTTTGTCCTGGGGGAACTGGCTCGATTGAGAGAATATCCAAGAGGTGCTGGATCTCGGTGTCCATGAGACCCTTTTTATCTGGTACCTGGGAACGGGGCACCTGATAAAATGCCTTGGGGGAATGTGAAGAAATTCTAGAGTAAGGCCCAGCCTTACCATCTGGATCACCCAAATGTCCAAGGTGATCGCCTCCCATTGGTTTGTGAAGTGTGTAAGCTGCCTGCCAATGCAACGATTTGCCTGGGAGTCATTAGTACCTATGAAAAGGCTGGTTGCAGGAACCATGAGATGGCCACCTAGCCTGAGATTGCTGCTGCTGTTGTTGCCTGTTCCTGTCTTGAAACCCCAACTGTTCCTGGGAACAGTCATATATGACCTGTTATACTGGGAAACATATGGGTTTGCGCTGAAACCAATGTCAGTTGCTCGAAAGGATTGACAACGAAAATTGGGTTGGGTCCTACAGTCAGCACGCCTGTGCGAGAAAGGGAGCACTTTGCACTTGTCCCTAGTCTCTATGAAGATAGGGTCTAAAGCGTTTCCAAACAAAGTACCTCCCTTAAAAGGTGCCAAAGCTAAGCACCACTTAAATTGCATATCCACCTGCCAATAAAGGAGCCAGAGGAGATGGTAAGAAGTCACATTAGATGCAATCGCACGAGATGCAAACTTGGCTACATTGAGGATGGCGTCGGATGCGAACTCTAAAGTTGACATTAGCTTATTTATGTCCTGGTGCAGTTGTAGATCCTCAGGTGCTAACCTGGCCTGCAATTGCCTAAGCCAAACTAGGGAAGTTCTATTAAAAAAGGAAGCCACTATAGCCACTCAAAGCCGCTTGTCTTACACAGTGTCATTTCGGCCCTACGATCCTTAGTCTTTAGCCCTTTATATTGGGGCCCCAATATGCTCATGCCCCCTATATTGGCCGTGGCCTTGGCCTTGTATAATAGTGGTTTGAACAAGGTGGACCAAAAGAGTCCTGAAAATGTGGGCTTGTCCTGTATAAGACCCTCATCATCCGATAATTCTTGATCATCTATTTCATCCTCCCCGGCAAGCAAATCCTCACTATGGATTGATGGAAGTGGTGAGGGGGGAATCCTGAACAGGAGCTGACAAGGCTCTGGGCATGGCAGGCTGCCGAGTGGCCTATCC